TGAATTCAAAGTCTAACTTGCATAATTCACCAAGATGGATGATTTTGAGGTTGTATTTGATATGCCATGACCTAGGGATTCTGATATATCTTATATTATGATGTTATGTAAGTAATAGACTGTGAACCCCTCCCCAAGTAATATCAATGCAATGTGAAATGCATGTGACTAAGGAAGAAATGCACGTGATGTGTGAGTCGCCACCTTGTTTAATTATTTTAGGGTAAACTAGGAAAAAACCATAAATGACTCCAATTTTAATTAACCTAATTACTAGATTAATTAACCCAATGTTAAAGGCATGGTTTGCAAACCCGAGATGGATCCCGAGACTATGTCATGCTGATGAACGAACCATGAATGAATGCTTTGCAGGGTGATTAATGTAATTTGGACCAATTTTAAGTGATTGCGACTTGCCGCTCGGGGTTAAATCCCAAACGTGCCTACGCCTACGTACTTTTCCGTTTGAAATGGAAGATCAAAGTCAACGTAGTTTCGATAGCCTTCTTTGAAAAGGGCTTTTGAATGGGATTGCTTTATGCATGAGTGTTGTGTATGCTTTGGTGCAATTTTTGTTTGGCAATTTTGCCAAAGATTATTGTTTTTTTAAAGGCTGGGGCCGTGTGTGTATGCTGGGGCGGGCCTGCCCGCCTGTCTGGCGGGCCTGCCCCAGCCTGCCTGGGCGGGCATGCCACCCCCGCGGGCAGGCATGTTGTGCCTTCTTTTTTTTTCTTTTTTTTGTTTCCGGAGTCTTTTCCGGGAGCTCCGGACCTTCCAAAAATATTCCGAGACCAAGTTCCGTGATCATCGTAATTTTTCGGCATTTTCAAGTACCATATTGGCACATTCCGTGAAACTTTTGAATGACCTCGCGGTCCGACCGGACTGTTTTGCAGTCTGGAAAAAGTGCCTCTTTTGAGCCCCAAAATATGGATATATTTCACGGCGACTGAGCCGCTGTCGCCGGCGGCTGCCGCCTGCCGGCGATAGCGGCTACCGCCGCCGGGCCGATAGCGGCTACCGCCGCCTTAAGGGGCGGCCGCCACGCTGCGGCCGGGAAAACCGGCTTTTTGAGCCTCAAATTTGAGTATTCACAACCGGTAGTTTTCAAAATTTGGAACCGGAACCACAGTTTGCCAAGGGTCGGTTAAGGTTCATGTGAAATGTTAAAAAATGAACTTTGAACGGCCCCGGAACGCGGCGTTCTGGTCCGGTTCGAACCAGATGCAACAAAAATTATTGTAGCTTAAAATTTTTTATAAAAAAATTTTAATATTAAAAAAATTTATATCACTTGATTTGATTGTAGTTGATTTGATTTATGGTGAAAAGAAGTACACAATGGTACATAATTTATAAAAAGTGGGGAAAAAAAGTACACATGATTTGATTTAATTTGTACAAAAAATGTTACATGAATAGTTGATTTGTAAAAAAAAAATAATTTTATGTGTACAAAAGAAAAAGGTACAAACGGCTAGTTGAGATGCAACAGTCTGATTGTCTTTTAGTGTCGGCAATAGTGAATGGTAATTACATGCCTGTGAACCCCTACCTCAAAAACACAGGCATATGAATGCATGTGACTAAGGGCAGAAATGCACGTGAATGTATGAGTTGCCACATGAGTCGCCACCTTGTTTAATTATTTTAGGGTAAACTAGGAAAAATCCCTAAGTGACTCAATTAACCTAATTACTAGATTAATTATCCCAATGTTTAAGGCATGATCTACGAACCCGAGGTGGATCCCGAGACTATGTCATGCTGATGAACTAGCCTAAACAATGAATGCTTTGTAGGGTAAATGATGCAATTGGACCAATAAAAAGTTTAAGTGATTTCGATTTGCCGCCCGGGGTTAAATCCCGAACGTGCCTACGTACTTCTGTTTGAATGGAAGATCAAAGTCAACGTAGTTCATAAGCCTTTTTAAAAGGGCTTTGAATGGATATGCTTTATGCATGAGTGTGTGTATGCTTTGTGCATTTTTGTTTAGGCATTTTGCCAAAGAGTTGATTGAGGCATTTTGCCAAAAGAAATTGATTGATTTTTAGGCATTTGATGCCTAAAATGTTGATTTTAATGGCTTTTAGCCAAAAAGATTTGAGTTTAGGCAATTGTTGCCAAAAATGATGTGATTTAAGGCCGAATTGTCGCCAAAAATGTTAATTTTAAGGGTCTCTAGCCGAAATAAATTGATTTAGGCAATTTATTGCAAAATTGGGTTAGGCGATTTGTCGCGCAAAAGTTGAAATTAAGGCATTTGTGCGCCAAAAGTTGGTATTGGAAGGGTTTAGCCAAAAGATTAGGCAATTTGTTTTTTGCCAAAAGTGATTAATTCGGGCGTTTGTCTCCAAATGACTGAATTTTAAGGCTTTTAAGCAAAATGAATTGATTTAGGCAATTTTTGTCAAAAGTTGATGTCGATTTAGGCGATTGTTTCGCCAAAATGATTGTTTTTGAAGGCTTTTTAGCCAAAAGATTGATTAATTCTAAAGGCATTTTGCTAAGGCATTTTGCCAAAGCTTTTGATTTAAGCGATTTGTCGCTAAAAGTGGTTAATCTAATTTCTAGGCAATTTGTTTGCCAAAAATTCATTGAACTGTGGGCAATTTATTGCCAAAATGTGATTGATTCAATTGTAGGCAATTCGTTGCCAAAACGTGATTGATTAAGGCTTTTTAGCCACAATTATTGATTAATTGGACTTTTAGCCGGACTGTTCAAAATGAAGGCAATTAAATCGTAGTTATTAATTAACTAAGCTTTTTAGCCAATATTGTCGGATTTAGCATTAATACCACGATTATTAATTAACCGGGCATTTAGCCTAAATTAATCATATTTGATTGAGGCAGTTAATTTTGCCTAATTGATGACATGAATGTGTTTATGCAGTTGGTAAGAGTTATTAGGAGTAGACAGAGAAAATATGCATGAAGTGCTAAAATTAAATGAGCAGAGTTTTGTTTATTTTAACACTGAGTTAACCGGTGACCGCTTCTTAGCTTCAGCTTGAAAAAACTCTGGATTAAGCTCTCGTTTGGGGAATATTAATTTAGAAATTAAAATTTAATTTTAAAGTGGCAAATATTAAAAGCAAAAAAAGCAAATAAAAGCCTAATTAAAAATGCAGAAAGCAAGAAAACGCAAGGAGCGTAGGGGAGAAGGAGCATCCGTCAACACAGACTGAGTGTCTTGAAATGAGTGCCGGGGCCACTATTTATAGGCAAAAATGGGGTATTTCGGCGGTCCGGCAGCCCGGGCTGCCGGACTCTGGCGGCTGGGCCGCCTGACTTCTGCAGCTGGGTCGCCGGAGCCCAGCGGCTGGGCTGCCGGATCTCCGCGGTTTTGCCATTTTTTCTTTTTTCTTTTGTTCCGAAGGTTTTTCCGGGAGTTCCGGACCTCCAAAAAATATTTCGGGACCAGTTCCGTGATCCTTGTAATTTTCCGGACGTTTCAAGTACCTTATCCGGAGCGGTTTTCAAGTACCGTTATTGGCATACTTTCCTGGTAAATTTTCTGAATGGCCTTTGGTCGGCCGGACTGTTTGGCAGTCCGGGAAACCTGGCTTCTTTGAGCCTAAAAAAAAAATGGTAATTCACAGGCGGCTACCGCCGCCGCCGGCGATAGCGGCTATCGCCGCCTTTAAGGGCGGCCGCCACCGCCGCGGCCGGGAAAATTGGCTTTTAGAGCCTCAAAATTTGATTATTCACAATGCCTCCTTATGAAAATCTACCCACTTCTAATTTGTGATCTAGCTTTAATAAGTGACATAAAACGGTGTTCCAGTGCCGATTGTGGCGTCAGCCATCTGGTTCTCCGGGTTTGGCCGGTGGATGTTACATTTGTGGTATTAGAGCATAGGTTTAGACGATTCTAGGATATATGATTTGGTATGAGTGTTTATCCGATTTGGAGTAATGATATAAGTGATTTAAGTTCAAAACATGCCATGTTAGTCTGTTTTGGAAATTTCTCTCTAATGCGAATTTGCTGGTCTTTGTAGGTATTTAGTGATGTCTCAGCACCTATCGGATGAGGAGGTGGACAGTTATGCCCCTCCAGAGGGTGCTATGTCCGAGGGTAGTATGTCAGCCGGTGGTGTCGCTGGCGGCATTCTGGGTTCCGATGCAGAGCGCGCCTCTGCTGTAGGGCAGGCTACTGTGGGTCCTGCGGGGCCTATGCGGGGCCTAATCAGTGTGATTTGGTACAACAGTTGGTAGCTGCATTGAGGCAGGCTTTAGGAGCTATTCCCCAGGCTCCAGTCGCACCAGCCCCTGTTTCAGTCCATTCCCCAGTAGAGAGATTGAGGAAGTACCGTGTTGAGGATTTTATGGGTCGGAGGGATGATGATCCTTCTTCAGCAGAATTTTGGCTCCGAGCTACAGAGAGGATCTTGGACCAGATACAGTGTACTCCTCTAGATAGATTGATCTGTGTTGTTTCCTTGCTGAAAGAAGAGGCTTACCTATGGTGGGAGAGATAGATTGATCTGTGTTGTTTCCTTGCTGAAAGAAGAGGCTTACCTATGGTGGGAGTCTAAGGTTAAGACAGTGAGAGCCGAGGATGTTACTTGGGATTTCTTTCTCTCTGAGTTTCGAGAGAAGTATGTGGGGGAGCTATACACGGATCAGAGGATAGCAGAGTTCCTTGAGCTTAGGCAGGGACAAATGACTGTCTCTGAGTACGAGCGGGAGTTTCTGCGGTTGAGCAGATATGCTTCAAAGTTGGTCCCTACTGAGGCAGATAGGTGCAAGCGGTTCCAGAAGGGGTTACTGGTTGAGTATAGGATGCACTTGACATCCCAGCCCCACACCACATTAGCTTGTTTGGTGAAGACTGCTTCAAAGCTTGAGATTATTTGGAATGAAAGACAGGCCAGAGGTCAGAGGACCCAACAGAGCAGTCAGTATAAGAGATTACAGAGTGCTACGTCTAGACAGACTTCGGGGGTCCAGTCTAGTAGCAAGAGATTTAGAGGCGGACCGTAGATGGGGGTCAGACGGGGCCAGACAGTTGGTCGGGGTATATTTACGAGATTAGCTCCTCCAGCTACATCTGTTACTAGTGGCAGAGGTGCTGCATGGTCAGGTCTACCAACTTGCATTCAGTGTGGCAGGAGACATGTTGGGGTGTGTTGGGGAGCTACGAGAGCTTGCTTTAGATGTGGATCTACTAAGCATATGATCAGGGATTATCCTATGACCGTGACTCGTCCAGCTCACCAAGTTGGGAGGCCAGCTCCCTATGTGCAGAGAGGCAGAGGTAGAGGCCGTAGCGAGGGATATGGTACTAGGAGTGAGAGACCAGTTTCTGAGACTGTGGAGAGACCAGAGGCTAGAGCACAGGCGAGGGCTTATACCATCAGGACAAGGACTAGGGGAGCAGCGGATGCGCCGGATGTCATGGGCCAGGGTACCTTCTCCATCTGTGACAACTTTTGTACTTGCTTTGAATTTGATCGGGGCCTCCACGCATTCAAATATGCATACATGTGGGTAGACTGGGTAGTATGCATGCTGAACAAATTAGAGGCATGGGTAGTATGCATGCTGATACATTAGAGCACAGCGTTGAGGTTACTAGCCCTTTGGGTCAGAGTGTAGTAGTTGATCAGGTGTATAGAGATTGCCCTTTAGTCATTCATGAGTATGTATTTCTGGGTGATTTGATAGAGTTGCCTTTTCGGGAGTATTACGTGATATTGGGTATGGATTGGCTGGCTAGACATGGGGTCATTGTTGATTGTAGACGTAAGAGGATTACGCTTTAGACTCCCTCCGAAGAGGAGATTGTAGTTGTGGGGGAGAGGATGGATTAGATCTCTAATGTTATTTCAGCCAGTATCGCTAGGAGAATGATATAGCATGGCTGTGAGGCGTTCTTGGCCTGTGTACTTGAGCCTGAGTGGTGATCTCCCAGTGTCCATGAGATTTCGACGGTGTGTGACTTTCCAGATGTATTTCCCGAGGATTTGTCTGGTTTTCCTCCTGCGAGAGAGGTTGAGTTTAGTATCGAGGTTGTGCCGGGTACTGCACCGATATCCATTGCTTTATACCGGATGGCTCCCACTGAGTTTAGAGAGTTGAAGATTCAGATTCAGGAGTTGCTTGGTAAGGGTTTCATTTGACCTTGTGTATCTCCTTGGGGCGCTTCAGTATTATTTGTGAAGAAGAAGGATGGTACTTTGAGATTGTGCATTGATTATAGGCAGCTTAATAAGGTGACACTGGAGAATCATTATCCATTTGGTACTTTGAGATTGTGCATTGATTATAGACAGCTTAATAAGGTGACACTGAAGAATCATTATCCATTACCTCGAATAGACGATTTGTTTGATCAGTTGAGAGGGGCCACTATGTTTTCGAAGATTGATTTGAGATCAAGATATCATCAGTTGAGAATTAGAGAGTCAGATGTACCTAAGACTGCTTTCAGGACTCGATATGGTCACTATGAGTTTTTAGTGATGCCATTTGGGTTGACTAATGCCCCCAGCAGTGTTTATGGACCTGATGAACCGGATCTTCCATCCTTATTTGGATCAGTTCGTGGTGGTTTTTATTGATGATATTTTGGTGTATTCTCTGACTAGAGAGGATCATGATCACCACCTACAAACAGTTCTGCAGACCTTGAGAGACCGACAGTTGACTGAGATTGCTTTCTTAGGGCATGTTGTTTTTACAAAGGGTATTCGGGTGGACCCGAAGAAGATTGAGGCAGTGCTTGATTGGAAGCCCCTTACGAATGTCATAGAGATTTGCAGTTTCTTAGGTTTGGCTAGATAGTACAAGAGGTTTGTCAAGGGGTTTTCTCTTATTGCAGCCCCTTTGACTAGACTTCTCCGTAAGGATGTCCATTTTGAGTGGACTGATAGATGCCAGAAATGGCAGAGTAGCTTTTGAGAAGCTTAAGGCGATGCCTTACTGAGGCCTCCAGTTTTGACACATGCGAGCCACAAGCCTGAAATGGCTATATCCAGGTAAGACCATAATGATGTTTAATAGTGAAGTGCTTCGTATAATGGTTTGGGTTTTGTGTGCTTATGCAGGCGGGCAAGGGGTTGATTACTTATGCTTCCAACAGCTTAAGCCACATGAGAAAAGAACTAACCCCTACCCCATGAAAATTTGAGTTAGGCAGCTATTGTGTTTGCTTGACGATTTGGAGACATTACTTGTATGGTGAGAAATGCACTTGTATACGGATCTAAGAGCCTTAAGTATCTGCCTTACGCAAGAGCAGAGAGAGCTTAACTTGAGGCAGCGTAGATGGTTAGAGCTACTTAAGGACTATGATTTCACCATTGATTACCACCCGGGTAGAGCTAATGTAGTGCAGATGCACTCAGTAGAAAGGCATTAGTTGCTCTTCGTGCTATGAATGCACGCTTATCTGTGACTAGAGATGGTGCCCTTGTAGTAGAGCTTATGGTGAAACCTAGCCTACTGCAGGAGATTAGAGATGCACAGAAGGGTGATGAGACTATTACCTTGTGGAAAGGCCTAGCCTAGTCAGAGAGGGTAAGAAGAAGAGATTTGAGATTAAAGATGACTGCTTGTACTTTGGGGATCGGATCTGTGTACCTAAGATCTCAACTTTGAGGAGGTGTATCCTAGAGG